CAGCAGCAGCAGCAGCAGGAGCAGTCTCATTCACAGATTCAGGAGAGGGTAGAGGAGGAGCCACAGCCACAATAGGAGAGAGTAGAGGAGGATTCACAGCCGCAGCAGGAGAGAGTAGAGGAGGAGTAACGACTACAGCACCAAGAGCACTTGCAGTCATAGCAGGAGATGGTAGAGCAGGAGTCCCGCCCGCAGCAGCAGGAGTCCCGCCCGCAGCAGCAGGTGCAATTACACCCGCAGCACGAGAGAGTAGAGGAGGAGTCACGGCAGCAGTAGGAGAGGGTAGCGCAGGAGCCCCGGTCGCAGATGGAGGCGCAGCTGCATCCACAGCAGGAGAGGGCAGAGGAGGAGCCACAGGAGCAGCAGAATGGGGCAGGTGCCGTCGCAGCAGACGCCGGAGGAAGCGGAGCAGTAGCGACAACGCGACTTGCCTCACCGTGCACCTGCACGCTTGGTTCATGGTCCCCTACCATCCCCTCCTGTTCCCCCTGTCGATTCCCTTTCCTCGTCCCGTCGTTCTCCCCTCGGTTGTGCTGTGTCTCCAGAGCCTCGTTGGTCCCGTTACCATGCGGACGGGCCGTTTCACCTTGTTCTCCGCTCTCGTGCTCCACCTCCTCCTATCCTTCCACATCCTCCTAAGTCGTCCCTCACTGTGGTTCATGACCCGTTGTCCGACTACCTCCGTGCCTCCCGTCCTGTCGTCTCTCGTGTTCGGTCCGCGTTGGTCACTCACCCGAGTGCCCCCCCGTTGTATGTCTCGGCTCTTGTTACCACTGTCGCTCGCTTTGCCTCTTCCCACCACCTTGTCTACGCCGCTCACCATGTGAGGGGCACTGCTCGTTCTCCATCTTCTGGGGTTGCTCCTGTCTTCCCACTTGAGGTTCTCGAGGACAGGCAGTTCGAGCTTGGTTTCCTTGCGACCGCTGTTCCTCATCTCTGTGCCATGCTGCTTGCCTCTGAGGGGGATCCTGACGCCCTTGACATCCCGATCCCTCGCGCTCACGCCGAGGCGGTCTCGGAACCCTGGGCTTCGTATTGGATAGCAGCTGAGGAGGTAGAGATGGCATTTTATAGGTCCACGGGCACATACGTCGACGTCGTTCCACCACCTGGGGCGAACGTCGTCAGTGGCATGTGGCTCTACAAGGTAAAGCGGCCGCCTGGATCACCACCAGTGTTCAAGGCGCACTATGTAGCAAGAGGCTTCATTCAGCGAGAGGGGGTAGACTACTTCCAGACCTTCGCTCCCACCCCGAAGATGACCACTCTTCGGGTGTTGTTGCATATTGCAGCTCAACGCGACTACGAGTTGTACTCCTTGGACTTCTCCACAGCGTTTCTTCAGGGGAGCCTGCACGAGCAGATCTGGCTGCGTCGCCCGCCTGGCTTCACTGGCTCTTTCCCTCCTGGGACACAGTGGCAGCTGCGTCGACCGGTCTACGGCCTGCGCTAGGCTCTACGTGAGTGGCACGACACACTTCGCACGACTCGTGCAGCACTTGACTTCTTTCCGTCGTCTGCTGACCCGTCGCTCTTCGTCCGCCGTGGCTCGACCCCGTCATTTGTTATGGTTTACGTTGACGACCTGGTCTTCGTCACACCTGATAGACGCACACTGGCCTCCGTGAAGGAGGAACTACAGAGGAAACACACTTGCACTGTCCTTGGTGAGCTGCAGTGCTACCTTGGCCTGCAGATCACCAGGGACAAGGCAGCTCGCACCATTACGCTGACGCAATCGCATATGGTCGAGCAGTTCCTCACGCGGTTCCGCTTCCCGTTCTCCAAGGTACAGCTCACCCTTCTTGCTGTGGATCATGGGCTCACGGCTCCACCTTCGGACAAGCCATTTGAGTCCAGCGGTCCATATCCTGAGTTGGTGGGTTATCTCATGTACCTGATGACCTGCACTCGCCCATACCTACCTTACCCTCTTAGCGTCCTAGCGCGCTTTGTTGCGCCTGGGAGACACCGACCTTCCCACTGGTACGCGGCTAAGAGGGTGGCGAAGTATGTGGCAAGTACATCAGGCATGGGACTTGTCCTTGGAGGGAAGCAGCCAGTTACACTTACAGGATACTCCGACTCGTCGTGGGCCAACGACGCAGAGTCGCTGCGGTCTATACAGGGTAACCGCTTCAGTCTTGGAATCGGAGCTGTTTCATGGAGGTCAACTCGAGCGTCGTCAGTCTCTAGTTCCAGCTGTGAGGCAAAGGTGTACGCTGTGGCATGGCCGCCCAGGAGCTTCGCTGGCTGTCTTTCCTCCTCACCGACCTTGGTGAGCGGCCTCCCTCTTCCCCAGTCTTGTTCGCCGTTAACATGTATGCTATCCTGTTGTGCGAGGAGCCCCAACTGGTTGGGAAGGCGATGCACATCCAGCTTCGTTACTTTCTTCTGCGCGAGTTGCAGCAGCGTGGCCTGGCCCGCGTGGTACGCGTGGTTTCTGAGGTCAACACTGCAGATATCTTCACCAGGGCGTTGCCACCTTGTGACCACCAGCGTTTCTGCACCCAGCTGGGGCTTGTACCTACAGGCCCTCACTTGCTTGTGTAGAGATGCTTTGCATTGTACTCTTGCATCTCTCTATATTTGCTATATATATCTTCTTGTGGACTGGCCTTATGGCCCCTTGCTTGTGTAGAGATGCTTGTCTTGTACTCTTGCATTTTCTATATTTGCTATATTTTTTTATGTTGACTGGCCTTGTGGCCCCTTGCTTGTTCTCGGACTGTTTGGTAATCTTGAGATCCACCCCAAGCTTTGTTGTGTTCTTGTGAACTGACCTTGTGACTGTTGCTTGTTCTTGCTGACTGGTCCTGTGACCCTTGCTATGTGTTGCTTTCCACAGGACTACCGTCACCTAGACTATGGGGGTGTGTCAAACTATAGTTGTTATAGCTTCTAGTTGTTAGTCTAGGTGTACTTTCTCTTCCCTAGTGTTAGGGTTAGGTTTTCTATATCTTGCTTGTTTATTCTTTCCTTAGTCATTGATTCTCATTTTGTAACACCTTTCTCTAGGGCTGCTTGCAGGAGATCTGGCTGAGTCGTCCTCCTGGCTTCACTGGCACATTCCCGCCTAGGACGCAGTGGAGCCTGAGACGACTAGTCTACGGTCTCTGCCGGGCGCTCGTGAGTGGCACGAGATTCTTGCTGACCTCGTGTTATGTCCTTCATCTGCTGACCCGTCGCTCTTCGTTCATTCTGGCCCCACTCATTTCTTCGTCCTCGTCTATATCGACGACTTGGTCTTCGCTATAGCGGACAGGGTTGCTCTAGCTTTCGTGAAGTCTGAACTGTAGAAGTGACACACGTGTACTGGTAAACTGTGCTCCTACCTTGGCTTGCCGATCACCAGCGACACAGCCGCTCGAACCATCGCTCTGACTCAGCCACACATGGTGCAGTAGGTCCTTCAGCGGTTCGAGCTTCATTTCTCCATCACACAACCCACTCCTCTTAACGTTGACCACAGACTCACTGCTCCTCTCCCCGACGAGCCTTTTGAGCCTAGTGGTCCCTACGTGGAGCTTGTGGTTTGCCTCATGTACTTGATGACATGTACTTGTCCTGACCTAGCTTATCCTTTCATCGTCCTAGCTCGCTTTGTTGCGACTAGGAGACACCGTCCTATTCATTGGTCGGCTACTGTGAGGGTAGCGAAGTACCTGGCGACTACATCAAGCATGGGGCTTGTGCTAGGAGGGAGAGAGCCAGTGCAACTTACTGGTCACTGTGACTCGTCCTACACCAACGACTTGGAGACCTGCAGGTCTACTCATGGGTACTTTTTCAGGTTGGGCTCTGGAGCTGTGTCGTAGAGGTCTACTCGGTCGTCGTCTGTGGCGCAATCTAGTGCTGAGGCCGAGATCTACGCTCGTGTCATGGCTGCTCAGGAGCTCCGTTGGCTGACTTTCTTGCTCACTGACCTCGGTGAGCGGCCTAGCTTTGCACCGACCTTGTTTGCTGATAATAAGGCCATGATCCTCCTATGTCGAGAGCCTCGACTGGAGAGCAGAGTGAAGCACATCCATTTGCGGTACTTTCTACTGCGAGAGCTACAGCGATGCGGCAAGGCACACTTGGTGCTTGGTCTTTGTGGCCTCAGTGGCCAACATTGCGGACATCTTCACCAAGGCCCTCCCGCTTGGTGACCTCTACATGTTGTGATTCTGCGTGCATGTAATCCTAGCGTTCTACTGAGTGCTCGCGGTATTCATGCTATTGTGCCTCGTTTAGACAAGATCCAGATCGGTTTCGAGAAATTTTTAAGCCAGATTTGACCTGGTCCTAGGGCCGCTGAAGGAAGGGTTGCCTTGCAGGAGAGCGGCTGAGGCTGCAGCGACGGTGGCAGCAGCGGGTGCATTGGAATGAGTGGCATGTGTGCCGATTACATAGGGCTCTGTCCACGACACACTGCCCTTGGGATCATGCTGCTGCTGTTATTGTTTTATTTTCTGGTGTTATTGCCGGTATAAGCGAGCCCCGTGTTGTTGCAGTTGAGTCTCCTATTTGTTTATGCAAACTCTGTTGCAATTGCGTCGCAATATCTTCATGCTCTTTCTGGTGCAACCACCACTGCTTCAGCTACAGCTGCATCCAATTGTTGCTGCTGTTGTCGGCTCTTCAGCTCATCAGCCACCACGTTAACTTCAGTCTGAACATTGTCCGCGGTCACCCCTGCCTCATTACAACCTACACCGGAAGTTCAGCTAGGACAGCCTTGCAGACGCATGCAGATAGGTGAAAGAGGTAGGGAATGAGGAGGCGAAAGAGGCCAAGGAGGCGAGCAGGGAGGACGTGTGAGAGGAAGAGGCAGCACGTGTGTGTTCAGAGAGGTTAGTTTATCCCGAGAGATGCTACTGCTACTGGTAAGATGTACTTATTTGTTTCTCTAGCTATTGCTATTGCTTTGTTTTTATAGCTGTTGCTGCAACTCTTGTTGTTGCTGCAGATGCAGCTTCTGCTGCTCTTGCTTCTAATGCCAACCTCATTGGTTCGTTATGGGTTTTAACTCTAAGGGCATCTCAAAACGCACCACTTTCAATGACTGTGCGTCTTATCATCCTGCCTTCCCATCATCCTCATCTTGCTTGCCGACGCTCTGCTGCCACAAGCCCCCCCCATCTACCAACACCCACCCCTCCCACCCTTCCACATTCTCACCATCCTCCTCTCACTCGCCCCCACCCGTCTGCCCAGCCCCGTCCCCCCCCCCCCCCCCCCCCCCCTCCCCTCCCCTCCCTCCTCTTTTACCCTCCATTTCTTCTCCATATCCTCCCCCTCCGCCCATTCATCCCCTCACCAGAAGTGTCAGGCCATCCCCCAAACCTCGTATCCCCAACCATCCTCTCTTCCCCCAATCATCTCTCCCCCTCCCTGTCCCTCCACCTGAGGGTTCATACCACGAAGTGGACTCGAGCGTGCTGGCATTCAAGCTGGCAGCATATGGGAGTTCAAGGAGGGCATGGGCAAGGCAGCGCCGCGGCTGCTGGAGACGGTGATGAAGGTGGATGTGGTGACGCCCGAGGACCACAGTAGTGACGTCATTGGCGACCTCAACTCTCGTCGTGGCCAGGTCAACAGCTTCGGAGACAAGCTGGGTGGCATGAAGGTGAGCCGAGGGGAGAGAGAGAAGAGGGAATGCGGAGGAGGGGAGAGGGGTAGGCGAGGAAATGAGACGGCATGTGGAGGGAAGAGGGGGAATGGGTAAGAGGGGAGGTCTTAGTGTCGGACTGAGCAGTTGCCGCAACTGCTGGAGCCAGTGATAAAGGTGGAGGTGGTCATGCCTGAAGACCACATGGGTGACAACATTGGTGACCTCATATCGCGCCGCAGGCAGATCAACTCCTTTGGAGACAAGCCCGGTGGCATGAAGGTGAGCTGAGGGGAAGGGGATGGGGACATTGGGTAGGGGGGACCAGGAGGGGAGGAGAGGGAATGGGTAGGAGAGGAGAGTAGAGTCTTATTTGGAAGTTGCCGCAGCTGCTGGAGCCGGTGATGAAGGTGGAGGTGGTCACGCCCAAGGACCACATGGGTGATGTCATTGGTGACCTCATATCGCGCCGCGGGCAGATCAACGGCTTCGGGGAAAAGCCGTGTGGCATGAACGTGAGATTCGGGGTAGAGGATGGAGCCGGCGATGTAAGTAGGAGGTGTTGACGCCAAAGAATGCGCCACTCACTCTTAGGAGATGTCTGGACCAGCACGAAGGGAAGGGAGGAGGTAGAAGCAGCAGGGGCTATAGCACCGGTTGCAAGTGAGAGGAAGGAGAGTTGGTTACAAGCGGGCGGGCAGAGGGAAATAGCATGTAAGAGATGCAGCAAGGCTGGGTACATTCCCTATGGCAGAGGGGTTACTATAAGAACCAGGTCATTGGCGCCCCAGGCCATCACTCCCAGATGTTCCAGTTGTTCCCCACCATCTATCATCTCCCGTTTCTCTTGCCACTGTCAGAGATGTTCAACATGTGCCCAACCTTGCTCGCTTGATTCCAGGGGTTCATCACCAGATGGTACATGAATGTGCTGGTGCCGCTATCGAAAATGTTCAACTACAGGTCAAACCTTCCTCATCTGTGCTCATCATCTATCATTTCCACGTTTTTCTTGCCCCCTTCTCTCCCCCTTGAATCAGGTGGTTGACGCGTTGGTGCCGCTGTCAGAGATGTTCAACTATGTGTCCAACCTGCGCGGCATGACCAAGGGGCACGGTGACCCACAACAATCTCTTCTTCCCCCCTCTTCCCGCTTATCTACTTTCATTTTGCTTTTCCGATGCTACCAGGTGGTTGACGCGCTAGTGCCACTGTCGGAGATGTTCAACTATGTGTCCAACCTGCGTGGCATGACCAAGGGGCGAGCCAACTACAACATGCAGCTCACACAGTTTGACATCGTCCCCACCAACATTTAGAACCAAATCACCGCCAAGGCATAGGGCACCGCTGTCTAACTCCATTTTTTGAATGTCAAACTGCATTATATTCTTGTAGGCTGTAGTGTAGCCCATACAGGGTACAACCCTTTTAGGGTTGCATACTTGTATCTCACTGCTGCTAGTCACACATCATTCCGCTGTTCTCATTCTGACATGGTATCATGCGCTAGGTTAGGTCCGACAGCCGAACCTACTACCAAACCTACGACTAGGTCCGACTGCCGAACCTACTACTGAACCTACAACTAGGTTAGATTTGCCCGCTGCCCCGCGCCTCAAGTGCCCCTGCCCCACTGCCCACACACCCCGCGTGCCCTGCTGCCCCGCGGTGCCCTGCCCTGCACGACGCGCTGCCCAGATTGCGCCTTCGCGCTGCCCTGCCCTGCGCGTTGTGCTGCCCTACCTGCGGCGTCGCGCTTCCCTGCCCGCTTGCGTGTTGCGCTGCCCTGCACGCCCGTGCGTTGCGCTGCCCTGCCCGCTCGTGCGTCGCGCTGCCCTGCCCGCCAGCGCATCACGCTGCACTGCCCGCCCGCGCGTCACGCTGCCCTGCCCGCCTGCGCGTAGCGCTGCCCTGCCCGCCCGCGCGTTACGCTGCCCTGTCCGCCCGCGCGTCGCGCTGCCCTGCCCGCCAGCGCGTCGCGATGCCCTGCCCGCCCGCGTGTCGCGCTGCCCTGCCCGCCAGCGCGCCCTGCTGCCCACGCGCCCTGCGCTCCTTGCTGCCCCGTGTGCCCAGCGCGCCCTGCTGCCCCGCGCGCTCTGCTCCTACTACCCTGCGCGTACTGCCGCTGCTGCTGCCGCCAACTTCTGCCGCCTGCAGCCGCCCTATGTGCTGTCGCCAGCAGCTGCCGCCCTTGCTACCGCCTATGCACGCTACCGCTCCTCCTTCTGCCACTACTGCCACTGCACCTGCCGTTTCAGCTACGGCCGCTGCAATCGCTACTTCAGCCCTTGCGCCGCTACTGCTGACTGTTGCCGCCTGTCATGTCCACTATCGCTGTCTTAACGGTTGACGCAGACGGGCGCCCTTTCATGTTCGAGTTGTGGCTCGCCAACCTGTAGAGGCTTTGCACACCTTCACGCTTGACTACGGCGCGACTCGCTGCTTCTTCCGCGACTGCACAACGGTCACATCGCTCACTACACATGTCCTAGTCACTCTGGCTGACCCCTCTGGGGGCCCAGTTGTTGCACGTGCCTCCACTGTTCTCCCTTGTCCGGCAGCCCCCTCCGGCTCCCTCACAGGTTTCCACCTCCCTCCTTTCGCTAAGAACTTGGTGAGTACCGCTGTCTTCCAGGAAGTGAGCTTGTGGCGATCTGTATGGACTCAATTCCTGGCTCTGATCTTCAGGCAGGTGGGTGTGATCCTGAGAGCGCTCCCGCACCCACCCCCACCAAAGCCAGAGCACTTGGACTGGCGCCCACCTCGCCACGTTCACTCGGAGACCCGGATCTAGCCTGTACACACTGACCACTGAGTCTGCACAAGTAGTTGCGTCTGGTCAGGTAGATGCGTCTTGTCAGGTAGCTGCGTCTTGCTCGTGTCGGTTACTCACTCACCCGTCTCTCCTCTGGCACCACCGTCTTGGTCACCCCTCCCTGCCGCGTCTACGTAGCATACACTCCCGTCTCCTTGTCTCTGGCCCCCCCAGGTCCCTGCCCCCGCTCCCTTGGTCGCTTGCACAGCCGTGCCTTTCCTGCGTCGAGGGGCAGCAGCGCGCCGCTCCTCACTCCTCCTCGTTTCCTCCGACCACTTCTCCTCTGCAGACTCTCCACATGGATGTGTGGGGCCCCGCCCGCGTTTGTGGACAGGTTCACGAGCGCTACTTTCTGCTGGTTGTTGATGACTACACGCGCTACACCACGGTCTTCCCCTTGCAGAGCAAGGCAGATGCCCGCGGTGTTTTGATCCCCTTGATCCGCACTGTTCGCCGCTAGCTAAGCGCACGGTTTCTGCAGGACCTTCAGGTCCCGCGACTGCACTCTGACAGAGGTGGTGAATTTTCCTCCCGCCTCTTTGAGGACTTTTGACGTGGGAAGGGCATCGCCCAGTCATTCACGCTTCCGGCCTCTCCACAGCAGAATGGGATTGCTGAGCGCCGCATTGGCTTGATCATGGAGGTTGCTCGCACCTCCATGATCCATGCGGCTGCCCCCCATTTTCTATGGCCGTTTACGGTCTGATACGCCGCGCATCAGCTCAACCTCTGGCCCCGTGTCTCCGTGCCAGAGACCTCGCCCACACTGTGTTGGACAGGGGAGGTTGGCAATGCGTCGGCGTTGAGGGTCTAGGGCTTGCTCTCCCTTGTCCGCGATACCACCGCGGGCAAGCTCTCTTCTCGCACCGCTCGCTGCGTCTTCCTTGGCATTCCCACCAACGCGCCTGGTTGGTAGATTTACCACCCAGCCTTGTGTAGGGTCCTATCTTCTCAAGACGTCACCTTTGACGAGTCGGTTGGCTTCTACCTCTCCACCCCCATGCGTTTTCTCCTGTCCCCCCCCCCCCCTGCCCCTCTTCCTGGTTCCAGGTCCTTCCCCAGTAGACCCTCTCCCCCCACTGGGTCCTGCTCCCTCAGGTGTGTCTCAGGTTGACCCACCTACCTTGGTTGAGCCTTTGGAGGTCTCCTCTGACACCTTTGGCCCAGCTGAGGGGGGTGACCCTGTTGATGACGACACAGCGGTCACTCGCCGCTCACCGCGCTTGGAGACTCCTCCAAGTTTCCCGCCTCGGCCGTCTTCGCCGCCTCTCCAGCCTGTCGCTGTAGACTTTGGTGCTGCTGGAGGTGGTGACCCTGGGGGTGTGGACCTTGGGGGTGCTGGTTCTGAGGGTGCTGCGAGTCATACTGGTGGTCGAGTTGTGGGTACTCCTGCTCTCTGGGAGTGGACGCCAGCTGCAGCCGAGTTGGCTAGAGACTCTCTCGCCACAGCAGCTTCGCAAGTGGGCTATCCGTTGGGGCAGCCCCGGTGGCGGAGCTTGGGGTGCTGGTGCTGGAGGTGCTGGTGCTGGAGGTGCTGGTGCTGGAGGTGCTGGTGCTGGGGTTGCTGGTGCTGGAGGTGCTGGTGCTGGGGGTGCTGGTGCTGGAGGTGCTGGTCTTGGAGGTGCTGGTGCTGGAGGTGCTGGTGCTGGAGGTGCTGGTGCTGGAGGTGTTGGTTCTGGAGGTGCTGGTGCTGGAGGTGCTGGTGGTGGAGGTCCCGGTGCACGTCGCTAGGAGACTCTTTCGCCGCGGCAGCTTCGCGAGTGGGCTGTCTGGTGGGGCAGCCCCACTGGCGGAGCTGGAGCTGCTGGTGCTGGGGGTGGTGGTACTACTGCAACAGGAGGTGCTGGTGCTGGAGGTTCTCGTGCCGGAGCTGGAGGTCCTACCAGACCCGTCACTAGAGGTTCTGGGGGTGCGACTACTCAGCAGTAGCTATCTGCGCTTCGCCACCTTCTCAATCTCCCGCCTGCAGTTAGTGAGTTACCTGTTGCTGGTACTACTCCTCCGTTACTGTTTCCATCGACGGACCCGTCTCAGCCATTGTTACTGCCTGACTCCCAACTACCTGCTCCTGCTCCTTACACTAAGGTGACAGAGTCCCTGACTGAAAGTAAAGAGCCTAAATCGCGTCCTATCACGCCTGTTCATACTCGTCATGCTCCTCGTGTTCGCCCTCCACCTGTCCCTGGCACTCACACTATGGCACTTCGTCCTTCCTCTGTTCCAAACCGTGTTGCTCTGCCGTCTCCTCCGGTGTCCTCTCTTCCTGACGTTCCTGACCTTGAGTCCGACCTTGCTCGTGCTGCTAGCCCTACTCTCACTCGTTTCCTGGCCACTCTCTTCACTGACCCTTCCTTTGAGTCTACTTCTGTGTCTGACTTAGTCACTAAGCTCGTAGACTTTGCTGCTACATGTCGTCTCGACTACGTCGTGAGTCCTGTTACCATGTCTGGGTCTGAATGTTCTCCGTCCGTCGGTGGTGAGTTTTCCCTTGGTAGTGACGTCATTGAGGACAGGCAGTTTGAGCTTGAGTGCCTCGCAACTGCTGTACCTGATCTCGCGTCCATGCTGCTTTGCCCTGAGGGAGACCCGAATGCACTAGACATCCCGACCCCACGCTCTTACGCAGAGGCGATCACGGGTGAGTACTCCTCTCAGTGGCAGACAGCCATGGACGCAGAGATGGCTTCGTGGAAGTCCACAGGCACCTACGTCGTTGAGTATCCCCCTCCTAGGGCGAACATAGTCGATGGCATGTGGATTTTCATAGTGAAGCGGCCGCCGGGCTCTCCGCCTGCCTTCAAGGCGCGTTAAGTTGCTCGAGGCTTCAGTCAGCGTGAGGGGGTCGAATTTTTCCAGACCTTCTCCCCACCCCGAAGATGACTACTCTTTGGGTGTTACTGCACGTTGCAACACAGCGTGACTACGAGCTGCACTCCCTCGACTTCTCCACAGCTTTCTTGCATGGCAGCCTTTACGAGGAGATCTGGCTGCGCTGCCTACCTGACTTTACTGGGTCGTTTCCTGAGGGTACCCAGTGGAGCCTCCGGTGGCCAATCTACGGTCTCCGCCAGGCGCCCCGCGAGTGGCACGACATACTGAGGACGACATTTGCGGCTCTTGGGTTTACTCCTTCGACTGCTAACCCATCGCTGTTTCTACGCACACCCTTCTCTGCCGCCGTTCTATATCTTCGTGTATGTCGACGATTTGGTCTTTGCTACTGCCGACACTAAGGCGCTGACCCTTGTGAAGGCGGAGTTGCAGAAGAGACACACCTGCACTTACTTGGGTGAGCTGCGCAGCTATCTTGGCTTGGAGCTCACCCGGGACAGAGCACGGCGCGCCATCACTGTGACTCAGTTACACATGGTGCACCAGGTCCTTCAGCGCTTCGGCTTTCAGTTATCCTCACCACTGTCTACAAGCATATAATGCATTTTAACACACCCCCATAGGCAAAGTGGGGGATAGCAAGAACAATCAATGGTCACAAGACCAATC